TGCCTTTGTCTCGCATTTTTAGGCCACAAAGGGGGCGGGACATCAACCCAGGTCCAACTGTCTACTACTCTAGGGGATGGAAGAGGTGGGCGTGCCTAATCCCGGAGTGTGCCCTTAAACACCTAATCGATCGTCGTTACAAAGGGCGCGCAGCTGTGAGGAGGCGGTTCTAGGGCGAACGCGCGAACGAATGATTGTGATCTCAAGAAAAGTAGCTTGGGATGCCGAAATCCCAAACAGCATATCTGAGAAAAGTTAGCATAGCAAAGCAACCAACACGGTGAAGGGTATTTGTGAACATGATTGAAGGTCGATGCCTTCACAGCTCTCCCGACACTGTAATTCACAGCTAGCGAATGTGACGTCCCATGCACCACCCTGTCGAAAAGAAAAAATCGGAGCAAACGCATGCATGGCATATCTGATGTTGCACTTCAGATAACGAATTAATAATGCAGACTAGCTAAGATCAATTTATTCATAAGTATCTCTACTATGAGCGAGGAATTCTGCTGCCATCTCCAAGTCGATGACATCTTCGCCTTCATCGACACACATCCGAGAGATCAACCCGAAATGGACAGATTGGTGGCCAGACAACCTACTCGAAAAAACAACCATGTTGTGACAAAAGGAGAACAAACCGCGTTGCTGGTTAATCTCAAAGTCCCGCACTCAAGAACAGCTACAGAGGATTCCACGATAAAAACGAAGGTCAAAGAAATTATCTAGTGGAGAGATCAGCGGACTCTAGAAAGGTACGGACCAACACGCATCAATGGATATGGCCACGGCGATCTAGCCAGGCCTTCGTTTCAGCGCTGCTGGCGCGGAACGCCCACCGGCTATCTAATCACACTCCGCGTTTCTATACGCAGCTAGTGATAGATAGCAGAGAGAGAGAGAGAGCGTTAGCGCTGAAGAGGGCATAACGATGAGAGTAGCATCAATGCGGAATTCAATGGGCAAGCAATGGGTCCCGTTCGCCCCATTCCGGGCCGTTTCTCTTGGTTTCTCCTTCCCTGCTCCACTGACCACTTATACCGTTATTTCCGATAAGCTACGTTTTCGTCGTAAGACCGGCCTTCCGAGCAAGCGATTACGATACAAAGGGAGCGCATCGGAGAAGGATAGGCGCCACACTAAGCAATTATTTGACTGCCAAGGAAGCGAGGTGTCACACTTCCACAACGAAAAGTGCGCTGGTCAGTTTGTGCCTTGGACGCGGTGGTTGTCAGGAGCAGTACAAATGGGGCAACTTGACTAGAGCATGGTTTGAACTCGCCCATACGTTCGCTCTTAGCCACTGCGCATCCGTGAGCACCACCAACGGCCACACAAGGTGGTTTAACTTTGCGTTTTCTAGACGGATTTATCTACTTTTCCCCATTGGCGTACTATTGAGCACCCTAGCGTCCCTTCCAAACCGCTCCAAAACTATCGTAATCGCCGCCTTTGAGGTGGCTATCGAACCTACTAGGGATATAAAATTACTTGATTGATATGGATTAAATTTGTTCTCACTGGCCAAAAAAGAGGTTAGTGACGAATGTAGCCGCTGCTGAAAGCAAACCCTTGAGAAGACGCCAAAAAGATGTCGTAGTGAGGTGATTCACAGATAAATACGTGGTCGGGAGCCACAGATGGGATGGTTTGCTCCTTAGTTCACAACTTTCGAAGAAAGGAAATCCAATTCTCAAATATTATCACAAGGACGTTGGCTTGTGAGCGATCTTTGCTTGAGTCGGGACACGAACCCGGACTTAGCCCTACTGGGTAAGTGTGCTCGATCATTACACTGTAACCAGTCGAAAGCTGGACTACGAAGAAGCGGTTCTGGTGGTGTAGTGGTTAGTACTCTGCTCGATAAGCACGAGGTCATGGTTTGAGTCCCTGCCGAGACAAATGGTTCTGTGCATAACTGAGCATTATTGTGGCGTCTTTAACGTCGTGAACTACTGAAAAAAGGTGAACAAAACGAAAAAATCAAAATTGCAAAGAGCAGTTGGGGTGATTAGACGACTACGCAACAATGTTCCACAGAGACCTGACACAGACAGCCGAAGAAATGAAATGATTTCCGCAGCCGGATATCGTGCCCTTTTAGCGATACGATAGCCGACGATACAGACGTGTGAAGGAGAGACACAGAAAATAATGTCATGATAAATCGAATTCAACTGTTCGAAGGAACCTCGGCGTGACGAAGAAAAAACGAAATGGAGCGAAGCAGTAAAATGAAATTTCACGCCATCAGAGCAGGTTAATAGAAGAGGCGATAAAATTCTCCCTTTTTGGACCTTCACCGATCGAACTGGTAAACCGTTGCACTTTGCTGCCCTGACCTAATGACCGTAACGCTTTTTCTAAATGTTACATTCTTCTATAACCCTCAATTTGTCCGTGAATAAACTACAGCGAGGCCCACCTCCGCTGCAAAAACAAGCTCGATGACATGGGCTGTGACGGCCTTGGCCTCCGTAGAAAAATATACATGTTCACTGGTACTTTATGGGTTGTCGATAGGGTCAAGAGAATGCTCTATTAGGGAATGGTATGGGGCCTAGTTTATCTTCTATATTTGATTGAATGAATGCCTGTACACGACAATTATTGTGAAAAAGTGAGAATAAACCGTTTCTAGTATCCCTAGCATAGAGCCAAATGTCTCTATGAAATGCTCCAAAACATAGTTCAGCACGTAACCCTAGCTCTAATCAAAGGGGACAAGAAATCACGCCAGAACGCGGTAAGAAGCTTCGAGGCAACAAAGAAGCTACCAGTTGTCTAAGTATTGTTTGAACAGCCTAAAAGCTGCAGCCTGATCGTAATTCCTTACAGAAGTGCCGTATTTGGTAAGTTCGTCGGTCCGGCTGCCTGGTTGGGCAGTTTGGGCCCATAACGGCCCCTGCCATATGATCACAGCTTTTCACGATCCACTCTTGAGATTTCAAGGTGAATCGAGGCTCCAATTATCTTTTGCACAGGTAATTAGTACAAGGAATTCCTAAAGCTAGTTAGCTGCTAGTAAAAATGAGCATTAGCCACCTTCTACAACGCCTTTTCGGCCAAATGGGCCTTTATACGGCTCTAAAAGCCCAGAACGACATCCGCTGCGTGGCGTATTCTGGAAATTCTGAATATTGGCCAACTGACTTTTACTACTATTTCCCAGCTCCGCACGTAACCGTCGTAGACTATACGTGCTTGTAGCAGATCATACATCGAACCTCTCAAATATCGGCACGGGAATCCTGAGTGACGGGTTCATGCACCCAGAGCTCAATGAGCATAAAGAAACCAAAGTCTAGACTCTCATGACTCATAAACTTTTTGTCTGAACTCCCGACAAATCTAGTACGAAGTTTCAAGGATTGGAGTAAAGATAATGTTGAAACTTCATTAGAAATTGTAGACGCATTAAACGAGCATTTTTAACTTGAAAAGCCCTCAATATGCCAATCACTGCAAAGCCATTTCAAAATGATAACTGTTTGGAAGGTTGGACGAATAGATTACTATCGGCCTCCCTTATCAATGGATGCGCCAAGCACTCAACCTCTTCGAAAATCTGCGGAACATTTTGTTAGTTTCTGGGTGACATTACCAAAGGTGATGGATAACCGCCGCCACGTAAAACGCACGCCATCTAGGATGGAATTCCGGCCGAAATTTGGCCAGGCCAATGAGATAGGTCGGCTCTCTATCACCCGAAACAGCTCATCTGTCAGGTGTTCTGATAGGCGAAAGCCAAGGATGAAATGGAGAGTCCGCTGGAACTCTTTGCGATCGAAGGTGCTCCAGAAAAATCAGGGAGGGTGTGTAGTGGTAAGGCCTGCGGTGCTACACGACAATTGAAGCTGGCCCCTGAACACGGTTATGCAACGCAGCTCACTCCGCTGAAATGAGGGTGCTGAGAGGAACTTAACAGCGTCTGAGATGGTATGGACACGTGCGAAGGAGTGACCGCTTGATAGGAAGACACTTGATTTTGAACTGCAGGCTATGGCACTACGAGAAGCCTCGAAGAAGATAGAGGGACATGATCAAAAATGGAGTTACCCACTGAAGTTAGAACCACAAAGATGCCACGGATAGGAGGAAGAGGCGACGCGTACCAATAAAATCCGAGCCTGCGACTGCGAGGGATTAACACTACGAGGAAAGGAGAAGAAAAATGTACTGGACAGGCTTTGCTAAAACTTCAGATGACCCCGCGATTCATTCAAGAACTCATCACATTCTATACCAGTACGGTTCTGTATAGAGCAAAACGCTTAGCGTCTTCCAAAAAAGATCAATCAGCGCCGTTAAAACTAACCTTTTTATAATTTGCCTTTTTAGGTTTTTAGTATGGATCAATTCACTCTACTCACAATACTTCGTGGCTACCGTCACCTTCAAAGGCTAAGGTTCCACCACAAGTGCGACCTAGTAAGCTATTAGGTTGTCCTAAAAGTCTTTGGCCATTTGTCG